AAAAAATGAGATAAATAGTTAATTTATCGTACAGTATTTTACTAGAATATAAAAAAAGAAAGGAAAACAAATTCTCTGAGCGTTATTTATAAGGAAGTAATTTAATTTAAGTTTCAATTAATTCCGTCCGTCATTGTTTACAGATAGTAAAACACGCTTTCCCTCCTTATCTCTTTAAATTTACACATTCACAGTTTTGTTTACATAAGTCTTCATGTAAATATTAACAATTACATTGCTTTTATATCTTGTAAAATTTATTTATAAAGAAATTTGTTGGCATAATATACTATTACAGTTAAACAATGCCGCATTCTCTCTACGTTATTTCTTTCCCTTCCTCCCTTCTTCATCCTTTTTCTTTATCCTGGTCTTCTCAGTTTCTAAAAATGCTGTCGAATCAACTTCCAAAGACAAAGTTTACGGGTTATCGAACAGTGTTGCCACCACCTCGGGGGCAATTTGACAGTACTGAACATCATTTTTCACTCTTGTCTCAGTTTGACAAGTGGAGACCTATTCGTTTCTTCTCTTTCTCTCTCCCCAATCGGCCTTTTAATCCAACGAGGTTGTAAAGAGTCCTGTCTTCTATAATCGCCCAAGAGGAAGAAGAGATCTATCTTATATACCAATCAAGGGTTTGCTTAAACATAAATCTAAGCTCTCTGCACTATACTTTAATTGAGAAGTCCTTCTCTGCTATGTCCTATCCTACTATCTTTCTTCATCTCTCCTTATTACTATATCGACATTTTCGAGTGTGATGTAATCTGAATGTTAATAAATCTTAATGCGGGTAGACTTATATCCCTTCAGAAACCAAAATAAATTGTAAGTCTTGTAGGAAAATATCAGAAATTATCATCAGTGATCTATCGTGATCATCTTTATTCATTGTACTGTACGTAACCGAGTTTAGTATAAAGATATCTCTTTAACATTAATAAAATCATATTGCTGATAAACTCTGTTATTTACAGAAAGCATTATAAAGACATATCGCAACAGGAAGTAAAATAACGCAGCGACTACGACGACACTTAACGATCTACTGGCGGTGATTTTACGTAGATAAATCATTAAATTTTTAACTTATTCGAAAATTTTAAAGTGTATAGTGAAATATTATCTTTCAGCTAGTGTATACTTATAATAAATTAGTGTTAGAAGTAATTAATAATAAGAAAAATCGATCATTAAATCGCGAGCAACAGGACCGATTTGGTATCGGTCTACTCGATTTTGGAGACTGTCAACAGCAAACTGCTTTGCTTTCTCCCTCGGGCAAGCCACAATCGGCCACGACTGACTTCGATCATTGATCAATTGGCTCGAACAAAACGTCGTTCCTTCGTCATGCTGTCGGCATCAGCTGGTGCCACTTCCAGATGTGGCCTAAATATTCTATCAGTATGCATGGCAGCTTTATTAGATTCCCACTGTCAAAACACTGTATAAAGCAAACAGTTCAACCATTGTGTATGCTAAACGTCTTGTCTGTAATACTTGAGTAAATATATTATGTTTACAGAAGACTTTTTTTAATTTAAAAAGTACGGCGGAAGAAGATAAAACAAGTTTCGTATCGAGTAAAATAATATTTCATTTGAGAAGGTGAATAGAGACCATATGCTTATGTGAAGGAACTGGTCGGAAAATTAATTAAACTGATTCTGTCCTGTCCTCTCTTTTCTCTCTCTCTCTCTCTCCTCTCTTTTTTTAATACAGTAGCTTACATTATAACACTGTTTACGCGCGTTAATGTAGTTTAAAAATTCCTAAAAGAGAAATAAAATCTTAAAATTTGATTTTTGTAAAGAAAGTTTTGTTTATGTATTCAGGCATAATGTAAACTATAAAATTTTTAGAAGGGAAGATAATGAATTTTTTAAAAAAATACACATATACCACGCAGGTAGACACTTAAGAACAATTCAGTCATAAAACACATTAAAGGACGAAGAGTTATGAGTTTATGAGTAGAAAAACTTAGTTTTGAAAGACAACAACACAATCCTATTCTATTAGAGTAAAGATTTTCTTCCTTTTTTTATTCTGTTATGGAAAGAATATAAAGAGAAACATTGTTGAAAATTTTGCAAGGTGGGCTTCACTGCATGGCTCCAATTTAGAAAAGACCGAATGACTCTTTTTAAAACAATGAATTAAGGTGAAGCTCATAGAAATAGGCTGTTGTAATAAAACAGAAGAACATTAACGACTAGAAGCAATCAAGATTAATAAGAGAACGGGGTAAAGTAGGTCAGACGGAGAAATATAATCGTAATATCTGCGCACACCTTTGCTTCACTGAATATTATTATTATATATATATATATACATTTTTTTAAAATTTTTTATTCACTGCTTTTTGCTTTCTTTCCTTCACTTCCACCAGCACTTTCACTGGATAGAGGTTGCTTGGTAAAATATCTATCCAAAGAGGTTTGGATTTACCTACTTTTTAAAATGTTTCTAAAATGAATTAGGCAAATGTCATTACTCTGAGCAGCAATATGGCCAGTATGAACCTTTTCGGGATGTTTCTTTTCAATAAAATCAATCACTTTCTGATAATACCTCAAGATTTCCTTTATCGAGCGAGATCCTTCCACGATGAAGCAATCATTTATACATATTTAAATTAATATTCCTTGGCACTCATTAAAAGTGCCAAGGACTGAGACCGATGAACAGAAGTGAATAAAAAATGGCATTGCAAACTAATGTAACGTCGTATGGTGAGTTTTTGTTCGTATTGTGGAGCAAAATTATGTTCAAATTTCATGTCGTATCCTGAAAATTCATATGCTGGGACGTTCGTATCCTGAGGTACCACTGTACTCATCAACTACATCAACTTCCCTTTTTTGGAGTTCTAAAATGTAAGGATGAATGACTTTTTAGCATTTCCTGATTTTGGATCAATTTCATCAGTGCTATGCATTGCAGGGAGGAGTGGAATAACTTTAGTAGACTACAACACCAAAAAAATAAAGTCATTCTATCTCTAAAAGCAAACATACTTGAGTTTACTGAGAGAAGTTTTGTGTTTGTAAACTCAGGCAGGATCTCTCTTTTGTTTTTCTGCAGGGTTCCAACTAATGTCAACTTGTGATCCTTTAGCAGCCATTCAGCTAATGGTATAAAAGTGTACCAATTATCAGTGGTTACATTCCTTCCAGTACCACTCATTGGTTGAACAATTCTAGATACTACAGCTAGTCCTAACTTTTCTACTCTAAAAGGGCTCTCTGGCTGCTGCCTCACATACACTTTCATGTTCACAGAATGAAAAGCCTTTTCACAAATCATGGCAAATATCTTAAGAATTAATGATGTAGAGTTCTTAACTATTACTTGGCTTTTCTTAAGGCCTGTCCTGTACTAATTTCATGTTTCCTGGGATGCACTTCATGTAGTGCAAAGCATGTTTTATATCAATGAAAATTTTTACAGCAGTTACTTAAATAAATGCTGTAATTTCAGTACCTGAAAATGGCTTCAAGAAATTTAAAAATATTTCTGGGAAATATTTTTGGTTGTCTTAAATAAGCAGTGTAAGGTTTAGAAACTCAGTAATTTGAGACTGAGTCTGTTAAAATATATCACTTACTGTTGATACCAAAGTTCAATAGACAGAATGTTCAAACAACAGAAGTTCATACACTTGTAAATTCATTAATTATATTTACTTTTTTTGTAACATTTCAAATGTGTACAAATATGAAACAAGATATATTAAACAGAAATGAATCAACTAAAATTATTTAGAGAGTTTATTATAAAATGCATAATAATTCATTTAAAGTTTAGTTTTATATTTTTACTCTTTCTGTCCTGTTGGCACTAAGAAGAGCTACACCCACAATGGAGCAGCTGGAATATGATGGATGGGACCCAATATATCAGGGAAACTGACCATAAAAAATTCCCAGAGTTGCTTACTCCAAACTTGATTTTAGGTACCAAGAATAGTAGGCTGACTGACACCTTAACTGTCTTTACTATATGGCTGTTGAGCTTCTGACTTTGCAATTGCCTTGGAAAACTCCTAATCTTTTGATTTCTTTAGTATTTTTCACTTCTACCTGCTTTTTCTTTTAAATCGTTATAAAATTGTTCACTAGGCTTCTAAACTCAAGCCATATCTCTAAAAAATGGCCTAATTTCAAAAATAAATACCCTCCCCAAAAAAAGATGGTTTCTCCTTTGCCATCTTATCAGCCACGATAAAAATATTTAAAACATGCCTAGACCACAAAATATATTCACTAATTAGGGCTATTTCACCCTATGACCGACTGGCCCAACTCCAAGTCGCGTTGCCATGGCAACAGCAGTCTGCCAACCGACTAGTTGTTCCAGTCGAACAGATTTGAAAAGTTAAATATTTGTAGTCGGGTCGGAGCAGTCGGTGAGCTACAGCCAACGAGAGCTTCGAAACTATAACCAATCAGAGTTTAGATTTATCCAATCTACGTCGAAGTTAGAAAATGATGGAAAGTATAGATTTCTCGGAAGCTTTAATAAACGAAGTCAGAACATATCCGTGGCTTTATGATATTCAGCAAGCTGATTATAAAGACAACATAAAAAAAATAATTCTTGGACGGAGATTTCCAAGAAACTAAACGTTGAAGGTATGTGATTGACTAATCTAATAATGACGCGATATATCTAAATGCACAATCGCTTTCCATGACGGCCATGTTTTCCATTTAATTTAAAAAACTTACCATGATTGGCTAGTGTATTGATCTATAACACGTGTTGTGATTGGTCCTTATGAGTCGGCCACCGACATTTAATCGTACTGCGTGAATGCTTTTACTACTAGTCGATCCGATTATAAAATCGGTCGGGTTGGTCATAGTGTGAAACAGCCCTTACCTCCAGACTCTCTACCTTTCAACACTATGGCATTCATAACCTCGCTACCACCACTAACCTCCTTGAAACAACTTACACAATTTTGTAAAATTTTGAGGAAAAAGAGTCCACTTACATTATATATCTAGACATTTCCCAGGTATTTGATTCAGTTCTTCCCAAATTACTTCTTAATGTGCTTCGTGATTATTTTGACTTAGATTCTGCCTTTTGCTGCTGTTTAAATAACTATTTTCTGTCTGTATTATGCAAGATTTATATTGGTGACTTCAAATTTCTGCCTTTTTCTCCTGTTTGTACTTGATATTGAACCCTGGTGAATGCCACACTCTTTTACTTAGCTTACACAGATAAATTATTTATTAACTTGTCCTTCAAAATAATAGCTTATGCAGATGATATTAAAATATTAATTAACAATCCATCATCCTCACAAGCTGATATTAATTCTATATGCTCTGTCTTCACTAGGCCATAATTTAAAAATCAATATTCACAAAACAGTAATTATATGTTTCTCTCTAATTCTCAATTCATATCAATTCTATTAAAATAAATTATGTTAAATCCCATTGTGATCTCAGCATCATTTTTGGCAAAAAATTAAATTTCCATGATCATATTTCTTACATTATTAAAACTCTTTCTATTAGACAAGACATTCTCTGATGTTTCTGTAAAAACATTTATTCAAATTTAATCTTAAGAACTATTTTTTTAAATTAATTTTCAGTCTGTTGTGTACTGTGTCTCTGTCTGGGACTGCTCCATATTTATTTCACAAAGTTCAATCAGAATTAAACAAAGTTTATTCTTTGATGTATAAATTCTGTAACCTCTCATATATCAATAACCCTCATGCCACCAGAGTTTGCCTTGGTCTACCCAATCTTACTAATAGTTTAAAATATTTTGATCACATACTTTGTTACAAATATTCTAATGGACAAATCTCTAACTACTGGCTAGGTTTTTGCATACCTACTGCTAGAACTCACAATACTTCCTGTATTTTCACCCCTTTTTATCATCTTTCACTATCCCACAGATCATTCTTTTACTTCCTATCCTCTCATATGACTCCAGTCGAACAGTATTTGTATTGCAATTTTAATTTTTACAAAACCAAATGTAAATCCATTTTATATAATATGTAACATAATTTTAATTCTTTACTCTTTGTGTTATTTTTACCTTTTTATTGTTATTTATTACTGTTTAATATTTTATTGAGGTTTATTATTCAGGAGTGGAAATCGATCATCTTTGGACATTTCCAATTGTAAATAAATAAAATAAATGAATAAACATAACATGTATTCATTTTGCAAGCAGAGTTGCGAATTTGTGAAAAATTAATTATTTTCTGAATTAGCATGCAAATTATTTTTATGATTTTCAAATTCCTGGACTGCAAAATCTCAGACTTAAAAATTCTGTTATTAAAGTAGTAATGTGACACATTATGTCAACAAAATACAGACTGACTATTCTGTACATCATTAGTTATAATGCTCTGATGATTAATGATTTCTATTTAATGCTGTTAAAATATAAAATCTTTGGACTCAACCTTGTCAAATTATAGAGTATCCAGTCTGAGAACTTAAAGCTGAAAAACCCTAAAGCAGTATACTCATAAATTTTTGTCCGTTTTATTGAGTTAATATTTTTGGTATATACTTTACCTATTCTATTTTAATAATATCACTACTACAGAATTTTAAGATTATTGCATATTCTTAAAAATAATTTTAATTTATTGAAAGAAAGTTCCATCAAATCTTTTTTCATACCTGTAAGCCAAATTCCACTAATACATGACTGTTTGTCAGACTGCTTAAATTCGATTTAATTATGCTTCTTGGAGGTTCTTTAGGAATAATATATGAATCACAAGTTTTTGGGAAATCATGTAAATTACTTGCATTTTTCCTAAAAATTGAATATTTGATTATACAGTACATTCATAATTTCTTATCTTTTAGATTGAAAGATACTTACTTGTCAATAGTAGTAGTTTTCTCTTTAATTATTCCATAAATGAAAACTAGGAGTGTAGAAACATTTATAGAATTATTTTCTGCCAAGCCCAAAGTTATGTGTCGTAAGCATGCTTGAATTTTCAATAGCACTTTGTGATTATGTGTTTCCAACAAAATCTGTATACAAAAACATAAAACATAAATTTTTTTCTAATAATATGTATCAATTGGATAGAACACATAAAATATGCATTATGACTTTATAAAGCATTAAACCTTAATATAATGAAGTGCTATAACTATGAAATATACTAGGACATTGTGAGACTTTGTTGTATCGCGATAAAATTGAAATGAAGCTGGAAGGAAAGAAGCAATTCCTGCACCTGATAGGTACAGAAGAGGCAATCCTTGTATGGTACCTAACAGATGTGGACAGGTGAACTTTGCACTTGCCACCACAAAAGAGGCTATCCTCATACCTATAGGCCATGGGAGACACAAGCCTTGCACTGGCCAGGTATGGAGAAACAATCCAAGAACAAAGCAATTGATGGAGATTTCTTTGTTCTTGTGTTTTGTTCATTTTTCACACCTATTTTCTGTTAGGCACACATAATACTGTTTTTATTTTTGACCCCTAGGCCTAAATTCCATTAGGTGCACTCATTACATCAGAGAGCATGGACATTGCCATTGTAATATCTTTGTATATCGAATGTGCTGAAATCACAATATAATTCAAATTCATAAAATAAATAAAAACTGCATAAAATTTAAAATTTATTAATCAACAAAGAAAATTATATTTTATTCAAGATTTTGTAATCATTTACATATATTGTAGAATAATCTAAAGTTAGTTAAGGGTTTTGCTATTTTACTGTAAAACCATAATTTTTTTTGACAGATTTGTTTTAAAAACTTCAACTTTTATGCATTTGAAAAACAATAGATTCTCATTAGAATCAACTATTGATTAGTATCACTAATTTTCAATGTCCTGAAAAAAGCACTTTTCTTTAAGTGTATACTTAACTTTTTTTAAGGGAAAACCAGTTAATGATTAATGCCAACCTTTTCCTAGTCCAAGGTACTGTACATATGCAGTATAGGCTAATGACAACATCCTCTCCATTTACCTACCAGGATTATTAGTGTTTTTTCAATGGCTTAAAACATTTCAATATCTGACAATATGTATATTATATGTAAGTATTTTATGTTTTTTTATTGTACAGTTGTATTAAGGAATTTTTTGTTTCAAACGTCAAAATCTAAATTAACAAATATAAGATCTAACTCAAAAGAATACTGTGGGTAAAGTTTTATTTTTCTTAACACATATCACTTTATTAGCTAGATTCTTTGTTGAAACCTTTCAATATAGTCAATTTAACTGCATCAATATGATTCTTATGACTACCAATGTGAATCTGTCTCTGAATACTGGATACCTCCTTTATCCAATAATGTGATGACTAACTTGTTTTGGTCTCTATTGTTTAAATTTTTTTAGATTGGTCAAGATTCATCCTAAAAACAGCCTCTTTTTGTCTTTCTGTGTCATTATATACTTTAGTTTTCTTTCTAATTTTTGCTTAATCATCTATTTATTAACTTTGAATGATTATTCTGTTACTAACTCAAATTCCAAACATGTACTTATTAATTCACTTCTCGATTAGCACAACCAAAATTTATTTATTTCTGCCCTGTATTAAAGATCCAATTCATTTCTTTGAAACTTGAGTTCCTTCTTGTATTTCAAATGTTTTTTTTTTTATAGATTACAGTTTTCTGATTTTTTAGAGAAGACAAGTTAAAGTTTGAAAACATAGAAGAAAAAGAACAATTTAGATTCTTAAATGTTTAAACTATCAATAAGTGAGAATATGTATGTTAACTGATTAGATTAAATACAGAAGTGTTATTGAAAATAACAATCCATTACCAATTAAGTTTTATAAAGTTTTAGCACTACGCAAATTGGAAATTTTATTTTATTATTGATATTATTACTCTTTATTATGTTTTTCTTGTATATCTATAAATCCTTTGTTCAAATAGACTACATGCCTACTTAAAGAAAAACAATAATGTGGCAAAAATATGATACTCTTGACATACTTGCTTATTTATAATCACAGATAATTTTGTTATACAAAATGCAATATAAACAAACCTGATGATATGCATAAATATTATGTAACCTTGCAATAAAAAATTATTTTAATGTATCATATCAATGTTTGTTTATACATTTATGGAATCTAAATTAGTGATAACAAAGAACACTTGAACATATATTTTTCTTATCATGCCAGTTTTTAAACCCAAGTCTCCAATTTTAAAATTTATTGCATTTAATTTTCTAAATGAATTTCTGAATCTGCTATTTTCAGTTATGTTTAAAAATTCCAAAACATTTCAGACTAGATTTAAAAAGTTTCTAACAATTTAATTAAAATTCATTATTTAGAATGTAATTTAAAAGAACTATTAAAAATTATATTAAAGGTCATGGTAACTACATATTTAGCAAAAAATTCATTGTTGATGTTAAATTATTAAAAATTTAAAAACAAATAATCTTACTACAGACAAAGGATGAATTAAATTCTTTAAAAATGAATCAGAAACATAGTTTCCTAAAATCTGATATATCATGTAACTTTTGACAGCTCCTGCTTCTTTCAATTTTCTAACAATTTTATTCACTTCTTTTTCTTCTGCAGTGTATCCAAATAATTCTTCATTGCATATCTAACAAACACAAAAATGTTACTATCATATTATTTATGAAATAATTAAAATAAAACTCCAATCAAAACTTTATACCAACCTGAAGTAACATATCTATACATTTGTCTAAACTTCCATACTGAAGTGTATTTTGCATACTGTTCAGCACTGAATGTATAGTATAAGATAGCACATGACGCTTCAAACAAAATATTTAGAATTAATATTTAAACATAAATGTAATTAAATATATTTCAAACGCATCTAACCTGATATCCAAGTTTTAGCATTGCTTTCATTTCTCGAATCAGATACCATAAGTATGACGGGCCCAAGGATTGCATAATTTTGACTAAAGTCTCTCTGGAACTTTCACGAATACTGTCTGCACGAGATTTTAAAAGATAGCATAACTTCAAAAAAATTCTGAAAAATAACATTAAAAATATAAATGCCTAAGGAAACTGAGCAATAAACAATAACTATATTTCAATTTTAACAAATTCTACAGTAATTTAATTATTAAGAACAATTATTACCCAGAAATATTGTCTCGTAACATGTTGCCAGGTAAATTTTGTAATAATTTTACCATTGCTACAGCTATTGGTAACCGGACTACAATCTCATCTTCATTGGTAGCTCGACTGGCTAGTTTATGTTCATTTTTTTTAAACTGTAAAATTTATTATTTGTATCTTATTAATATTCTTATAAATTAGAAATTCACTGATTTTCACTGATTAGTATTATTAATAATTTATTAACTATTTTAATAAATTACTCATTTATATATGAAATTTTAAATAATAACTAATAAAACCTAAACTCATTACTTTATAGTGTGTTAACTAAACTTTAAATAATTACTCAACAGTAGAGATTAAGGCCATTAGTAAGCTTGAAATCACATTTCACTATTTCAGTTAACATAGAATAAATCTGAAGCATGCTTGAAAATCTTATTACACATTATGCTCAATAAATATCAAAGGAATTTGAAAATTTCAAGATAAGTAATTTTCTGACCTTTAGATCAAATATTAACGTTATCAAGTTTTACAGAAAATATTTCAGATTTTACTAGTTTATTTTTCAAAGAAGTAAATAATTTTAAAAGTACAAATGATCAAACAATTATATATCGCATCCTTGTGCATACAATATGTAATATGAAGAAGTCCAAATAATTATATACAACAGATTCATGATCATCCAAGTCCAATTAGCTATGTTATGAAAGCTTTCTTATATAACAAAAATGTATGAAATAATTTTATTTTTGTAATTAATCTGTACTTTTTATTACAGTACAGTATTGTTATATAATAGCAATGTGTAAAAATGCAATTGCAAATGTTTTCATAAAACATCAGTTATTCTGTGGTTAATGCATCATAGTAATTGCAGGTATCTTACTGGATTGCTTTTACTGAAAATTCTGTATTAAAGCATTATCACATGTACAGTAAAAATCACAGCTAAAAAAATAAACAATGTATGGGATGCATTGATGTGTTTGACTATACAGGAAATGCCTTCCATATCTTCAATTTCCGTGTTATCCAGCTTTTTCCTTATCTGGCTTGACCATCTACCACATTAACTTGTCTATTAAAGGGAGTTCAATAGACTATATAAGTTTTTAAAGTATTTTTTTATTTTCCTTTTCAGAAAGTTTCTTATTTAAAATATTAAGATAAAATATTTTAAAAAATTATTTTAATATTGATTAATAAGAAAATATAACAGTTTAGAAATATTAAAAATAAATAAATACTGATAAGATAAAATTAAAAAGTTGAGTAAAATATTTAAACAAACTAAATGGTCTGTGAATCAATAACTATTGTTATTGATTTACAGACCATTTAAACCAAATCACATAGATGAATCATGGACTATTTACAATTTCTATCCCATAAATATTACCTTAGATAATGATAAATTGTGTGCCAAAATATTTTGTTTATTTGGTAATATAACTTAAAAGACATGAAATGTGTGAAGATGTTCTTTTATCTGGTTAAACAGCATAGAATTGTATTTTGACTAGATCAGTCTGCTGAACATCTGGAATATGTTTGTGGACCACTAGCAGTCCACTGACTACAGATTGAGAACCACTGATCTAGATGATTTTAAAAACTGAAAATTTCATTAAGAATCATTTATCAAAACATTTCCATAAATGAAAAAATTTCCCAAAGGTTCTAGAAATTTATGATTTTTTATACAACTATAAAATCCAAGAAAATTTTTACCACAATCAAAGACAAACACATAATTTAGCATATACAGCATTAAAGTAGTCTTATATATTTTCTAATTAGAATATGTTTAGAATACATAATGATAAGCAAAACTTGAAGCAGTATTTTAAAATTTATATTAAGTCATAAAATAAGTTTACAAATATATTTAATCTCAATGTAAAAAAATTCATATGTAATACAGTGGGTGATCGGTTAACGAACATAATCTGTTCCAAGACTTTGTTCACTATCCAAATTGTTCGTTAACTGATTATCAATTTACCATATGTTTTTATGAGAATTTGATCAATTCATTCTGGAGACCCCCAAAAATAAAAAATATATACTTTCTTACTATGTTTATTTATATGTAATAATAAAAATACATATAATACACAGTCTTGCATTTTTTAGTTTTTTTCTGTTTGTGGGGGTTAAAGAATCTGTTTAATGTTGATTGCTTTTCTCTCTTCTTTAGGATTTTTCAGAAGTAATTAATAGCATTGTAATTGTAGAGATCCCTAAGCCTATTAACCTCAACCTGGTTTGGATGCCATTCTAAGATCATCATCCCACTTCAAAAAAATGTTTAATAGCAGATATCAGCATTAATCCTCTCTTTCCTAAGAAAACATATCTCACCGAGTTTCTTGGTGTTATTCATTCAAGAGTTCTTGGAGTTTTCCTGTCATCAGATCTGTTTTAGGTTCCATTATGAGCTCTTCAATGTTCTTTACTTCTCAGGCTACAGTTTCTATGGATGCGAATTCTGATGAATTCGTCCGAACAAACAAATACCTGTTTTCCAATGAGAGTGTTTACTTTGGCAGCAAAGGGCATGTCAGAACATGCACGATGTAGTCAGAACCATTCGAGTGTTCAAACGAATTTGATTTTTTCGTGCATTCTGACGTTGAATTTGGAGTGTTTTGGTTTTTTCAACATGGATATTGATAAATTGATTAGTCTTGTGTTCGAGAATAGGTGTTTGTGGAACACGAAAGACAAAACTATCACAACAGAGATGTTTCTCATTTTGGTCTCATTCTGAAATACTCGAAAAACTTTTGCGGGTTGTTCCACAAATCTTGATATAACATTTGGAACTCTCCATTATCATCTCTTATGGAAAATAAGTGGTTAACATGCTCTGTTTTCCCACCACCTATCAACAATAACTTAATCAACAGACTTTCAAGAAAATAAAACTCATCAAGTTCGTCCATTTTGCTGGGAGGCAGAAATGTACTATCAGAAAACGTGCACAGTGTAACCACCTTGTTCTGACAAGGATTTCGGACGTACTCGTCAGAACAAAATTTCGTCAGAATTCGCATCCATAGTAACCGTAGCCTCAGATGTGATTTTTGTCACTTCTTTAGCTGCTTGAATCTTCTCGATTATACTGTATCTTTCTTAGATAAGATTGAACTGTGGCTACTGTAGACCTGTTCAAGCCACTGATACTGCCCACCGACATCAGGCACCGCATTTTGAGGCTGTCATGCTGGCAAATACTCTATTCCTCAATTCTAGTCACCCAATATCACATGTTCTACACTTGCAAGAAGCTCTTTTTCTTGTCACTCATAATAATTATTTCCAATTTAATGGGAAAATATATAAACAAACGCAAGGTGTACCAATGGGTTCCCCACTATCTACTGTTTTAGCTGAACTGATTATGAAGAATATAGAACATCGAGTTTTTAATGCCCCCTTAACTATCCAGTATCCTCTCATGTATATACATTACATCGATGATGTGTTAATTGCGTGGGATGGCTCCAATGAGGATTTACAACAATTCACGCAAATGTTAGCCTCCATTTATCCTTCAATTAATTTTACCGTTGAAGAGCAAAAAACAATAGAATCTCCTTCCTGGATCTAGACATATGTATGTCTCCGGAGCTTACATTCACTGTACATCATAGAAATAATAAAGCACCGCAAATCGTACCTGCTACTGCTTACCAGCCATCACACTACAAAAATTCTGCTATTTCTTCTCTAATACTGAGGGCATACCTTCTTCCTTCTACTCAGTCACTAGTGGAAGATGAGTTATCTATCATTTATAATGCCATGTTATAGGCTGGTTATTCACACTCTAAATTTACATTTCTTCAAAACCGTGTTAAGAATAAATTATTTCCGCAATCTTTTCTTTCTAATAAGGAAAACCTAAGAATAGCACATCCTCCCCAATACCCTATTTAGGCCCCATTTCTTTAAAAATTGCACATATGTTTAGAACTAATGGTTTCGTTCTCACAATAACACTGCCACCAAGTCTAAGAAGACTGCTATGTAATGATAGGGACAGATATCAGTGGAATGAAAAATCAGGAATCTACCAAGTCCTGCTAAAACATGTATTGTCAGGTGAAGAAATCAGTTATATAGGGGCCACAGCTATAAGGTTAGGTTCACATATTCTTGAACATCAAGAAGACATCAAAAACAGCAGGCCAGTTACAGAGTTAGCAAAGAAAGTGCTTGACCACAATTACCAGCTGCTCTGGAGCAAAACAAAATTACTGAAATGCCGCAACAAACATAAAGAGCTATTTGTTTGGGAGAGTCTCTATATTTCTGCCATTGAACCGTGCAACTCCCCAACTCTCGAATTACCAGAAATTTGAGTAACAGCTTTTAAACAACTCAATCCACGATGTTGAAGTCTTTGCTACTCAGATGTCTTTTTGACATATCTTATACTTTATGCATGTTCTGGGCACTTTTATGGCCATATACTTCCTAAAACATGCTTATTTAAAACTGTTTTCCTTCCACGCGCTATGATGCACAGAAGGATTTTTAAATAAGATTCGAAAATGAAAAATCAGTTAAAATGTCAGAAATATTGTTTGATAATTTCGAAAATCCGAAATTTGTGAAACTGTCGGATTAGAGTTTGAAAATCTTAATCTGTTGTATTCGATAGACCACCTGAAGACGGTAGTTATATACTATTGAAAGTACTAGCAGACGAGTTCACTTTCTAAAGTCAGACGAGTTCATTCTCCAAGACTCCACTCCTGTAATGCCACAACACGTAAGTGTTATAATCATATAATAAATGTTGGCATGAAGTGACATTGAATTATAACATATTTAAGTAGTAAGATTGACATATAGTGTTGATGTCTTAGATAGTAGTCTTCAATTATTGGCTACCACACTTGCTTAATTTTTACTTCTTGTTTTTATGAAAAAAATGTCTTTATTGACACTGATTTATTAAAGAAGCTTCTTAAAAACTTTTTAATGTTGTTTTATGTCCAATTTGGCAACTGTTTTATTAAATTAGTGTTTTCATAATGATGATGATTTTAGATGACAATAATATCATGTTTATCAGCAAAATTGTTCTTTATATGTATGTATGTATAAGTTTATAGGAAATAAATATAACATGTATAAAAGTACTCTATTGTTTGTGAAAATTGTAACACCATGAAGAAATTGTGATATTAGCTTGAAATTTACAGGATATGTAAATCAGGGTGTGGTATGCAAATGATCAAAATTGCAGTGATTGTACATATATGCTCAGTAGCACCCTCTTAGCTGTTCAGTAGGGGTATAAATACAGGGTTGTTTAGGTACCATATACATAGTACATTGTGGATATGAACTGTAAGGGTGCAACTATGCAGACGCGAGCGAGCGAATTTTCCGAGAAAGTAAGAATATGTGGCGAGAAGAGGCGAGACGCGATAAATATCAAACCTGTCAGATATGTGCGAGAACCAGAAATTCGCTCTCGCCAGCGTTATTTCTCGCTTCGCGTTTGTGCGTGGTTTTCCTTTGCGAAAACTAAATCGCTCGTAACCTCTCGCTCGCTCTAAATTCGCGTCTGCATAGTCGCACCCTAAAAGTGTTTCCAGCACTCACTATCCCTTGTCAACAATGAAGGACACAATACCAACAAATGACAGAGTTTGAATGTGAATGAATGATTGGCCTGCATGAAGGTAGATTTTCATACCACAATTTTGTTGCTCCTGCAGGACATAACCCCATGACAGTGATGCATATGGCGGCAGTGGACTGGAGAAACTGGGTGCATTGAAAATTCAGCAGTGGACTAGAAAATATGATGACATCTCTTTCATATGACAGTGATGAGCCATTCTGCATCATTCCAAGTGTTAACACAGCAGTGGAGTACTGCAACAGATGTAATATTGTCTGCCAGTACAGTCTGATGCTGCTTGCTTCAAAGGGAACTGATTGCACATGTGCCTTTGTACAGATTCCCTTGACCCTAAACCACTAAAACAGGCAACAGTAGCATGCTGATTAGCAGTAAGTCATGTTTTCAGACAAGTTCCGATTTGGACCACAATGATGGCCACATGAGCTTTAGAAGGTATGGTGAACACCATCTTTCAGCTTGCATTTTAGAGTGCCATATTGGCTGAATGCCAAATGAGATAATGTGAGGTGCCATTAGATACCATTCATAATCTCGCCTGCTATGATTTGAGGGCAATCTTCAACAGTGACCACTACATCAAAAAAGTTGTAGAGACAGAAGTCATATCCTTCCTGTCATTATATTCCAGTAGAACAATGCCTGAACCCACGTTACCAGGAATGTTCAAATCCTCTTCAAGGCACAGCAACTACTACTTCTTCCCTGGCCTATCTGTTTGCCAGACATGTTGTCTATTGAACATATTTGGGATATGGTCACTTACAAACTGACCAATCAAAGTCCTCCAGCAGTCAATACCAATGAACTACGGAAACATCCAAACAAGCCATCTGGCAAGCAATTCCCCAGGACACCATCCAAAGCCTTTTCAATTCATTGCACTATGTACAACCACTCTTATTGTAGCTCACAGATGCTTTACAAGCTACTGATTTTATTAAGAATAATTGTGTAATTTTTATGAAAATTTATTCATTTATGTACAGTCATATCAGTAATGTGTGGTATAATTTTATTCTAATTGGATAATTCCTTTATGGTATTGCAATTTTAACAAACAGTATCATACTGTATACTAACATCAATTTGAATTATTCATTATCTTTATTAGTATATAATTGAGTTTTAAACTATTTCTTACCTTTATTTTGCTGAAGAGCACATAACAAAGCTGCCAATGCAGCACCTTGACTAAATCCAAGAATTCCATCAAAATGGCCCTATAGTATAAAATAAAATGCACCAAGTTAATTTTTCTTTTAATTTAAATATAAAAATTATCGATGCATTAGATTACATTAAAATTATTTTCACAATTCAGCTGATCACTGCATTCTATTGATAATAAACAAAATTTTGAGCACTCAAGGCAATGCAGAACCCTCACGCAGTTCCATCATTTTTTGCTATCGTCAAAAAATGCATACTGTGCATAATGATATCTACTGAGTAGATATCAGTACAAAATATTTTTGTCCTGTTAAAATGTTTATACTGATCCTGAGATGCTCTACAATTTTGTAAATTTAAACTATGCTGCTATTTAAAAAAAGGTATATTTATATATATAATTTTAAAAACTTTCAAAATGAAAAGTCACTTTAAAAATCATTATAATAAAAATCACTCTGATCTTTTCAACAGTCCTTTTTTTATTATTGAAGAGATGTACTCTCGTATACTAGAGTTCTTGTTATTATTATTTATTCCTACCACTGAAGAGGAACTGTTAATTGATGCAGTTCAAAATGCATATGGTGTAAGTACATCTCTTCGGTAATAAAACAAGCTTGGTCAAACCGAT